CTCATGTGTTGGGGAGGTGACTGGATCTCGGCTCGCAGCTGGCTTGTTCTTAGGAGGCAGAGTCTAGTTGGGGAAGCAATCACAGGGGCGTGGCCTGGAAGGGTTTATCTCCTTCCCTGCTCCTCCCTTCTCTGCTTCCTGTCCACCATGCCATGAGCAGCTCTGCTCTGCCAGGCCCTCACACAAGACCTTTCTCCTTGAGCTAGCTGACCATGGATTACAAAAGGGAGCCAAAAGAAATCTCTCTTTCTTTAAGTTCCATGTGCTGAGTGCTGGGTCCCTCAGTGAGAGCAGCGACTAAAACAGCTTCTCAGTATTCTTTTCAAGCTCTCTTGCCAATTACACCAGTCAGAGTGGGCCCTGGTGTTGCCAACTGAGAGCCTCAAAACAGTATGTGACCAAGTGGCAGTGGCACTGAGAAAGCCAGCAGAGGAGAAATACATTTCAGCCTCGGAGGGGACTTTCTTAATCCCATAAACCCAAAAGTTTAAATAAGTAAAAGAAATTAACTAACCATCTGCAAAACTTTGACAGCTGATAATTTTCCCCAAAGGACATCTGAGAACACTGCAACAGGCAGAGGAGGCAAAGGGCTGTGGCATCCATGAGCACAAAGCATATCTGCATGTGCACACACACACACACACACACACACACACACGTCACTACTCCATACCTAGAGATGCAGGGAATCAACCTATATCCACAAGACCAGTTGGCTTTATCTCCCAGGACTCAAAGCACCTGATTTATACACGGGGCGTGGTGGCCACACACACGATGCCAGCTACTCTGGGAGACCAAGGCAGGAAGCTCAGTTCAGCCTGGAACTTTACCTCAAAACAAAAATGAAAGACTTTACCTCAAAATAAAAATAAAAAGTGCTAGAACTGTAGCTTAGTGCTTCTTAAATTCATCCAGGGCAGGAAGGGGGAAAATTATTTCCCAGTATGTGTTAAATCATTATTAACATCATTATAAATGAAAAGGGCATTTTAATCATTACCTGGTTATACTAGATTCCAATCCCAGACACCGCTGAGGCTTCACACAAAGCTGATACATAAGGCAACAAAGTCATTTTGATTCTAGGTCAATTCAGATTTCACAGAGATGATAGCCAGGAGAGCCCTTCAAATCTTCCTACTTGATCAAAATTAAAAATAAAGCTACCTTGTGACTGGCTTTCTCAAAACAATGCAAATCTTGTTAACAATTTCATTTCATGTATTAGCATCATCATTAGGGATTATGATTTAAAATTAACACAGAGGATCTAGGCCATTCTTGGCTCTTGGGGTTCCTAGGTCTTTTGATTTGTTGCCTACAACTAAAATGACAAAAATGACCATTGCCCACTTTTAGGGCTTTCCCTGAGTCCCAAAATCATGATAAATTTCTAGTTACTTAAAACAAACCTCAAAGTGCTATGTAGTGAATGGATGCTTTTGCCGGGGCAGCATCCATTTCCATTTCCTCGGGTATTAGTACCCCAGTTGTCACTGGAAGCTACATGTCTCAGTTGTTCTTCTCTCGTTGCTGGGACAAATACCTAACATCCAAAATGAAGGCAAGGAATGTTTATTTAACTCAGTTACTGGAGGTTTCAGTCCATAATCAGCTGGCTCCAAAGCAGACTGGCATATGGCAGAGAGCAACCTTTCATGGCTGCAGCAAAGAGCAGAGAGCAAAAGAGAGGAGGAGCAGCAGTAATGGCTACAGAGAACAAGTCTGTCTCTCTGTCTCTCTTATTTTACATTCCAGCTATCTTCCCCAGGCTAGGTATAGCACTCACACTTATAATCCCAGCAGTACTCAAACCCATAATCTCAACAGTACTCAAAACCATAATCCCAGCCTTGGATCATGAATCAATCCCAAACTGTAGAACTGCGCCTCAGTGACAGCATGAGGCTTTAGGGGAACAAATACACACAAACCATAACATTCTGCTTCTGGACCCCCAAAGTTTCATGCACATTCCTTTCTGCAAAAGACATTTTAGTCCATCTCTAAGAGTTGCCAAAGTTCCAACAGTTTCAGCATTGCTGAAAAATCCAAATCCTGTCTCCTCTAAGATCTAAGTCAAACTCGTAGCTGTGAGCCCCTGTACAAAAGACAAGTTAAGCACTTCCAGCATTCAGTGGCACAAAACAAACATTACCATCTTAAAAGGTACACACAGCAGGATATCAAGTATTGGGACCAAAGCAAGCCAAAAATCCACAACAGTCAACATTAAGTCCTATAGTTCCATATGGAACATGCAAAGCAATCTGTGGCAAACTGTGAGCTCCATGAGGCTCCATCCCTACGGCACTTATGATGGCAGCTCCCATGGCGTCTCTCTTAGGCTGGCTTTGCTCCCCCCTTGCAGTTTCCCTTAGATGATCCACGTTCCTGGTTTTTCCAAACTTCTGGGGTTTCCACTATACATTAAGCCTCTCACTCTCTGTTTCACACACTGCCCTCTCAGGGGCACACCACCTGGCCTCCCTCTGAAATCAAGGTGGAAGCCTTCTTAACCTCAGAACTTCTGCATTCTGCAAGCATCTAAGACCAGTGCCAAATGGATGATGCCAAGGTCTGCTGCCAGCTTGAACAGTAGCCAGGCTTTCTTCTCTCTTGGCATAGGGGTCGAGGGCCTCGATTGCTGAGCACTCTGACCCTGATTCTCAGGAATGAATTCTCTATGTCTGCACCATTCCGGAACCTGGTGAGGCCACTGCTGCCATTCTGGAACATATAGCTCAGAAACTTTTTCCCCAAGGCAAAGTCCTTTGTAATCCTGAGGCTGCAAAGGGTGGAGACCTGCTACCTTCTGTGATGCCCTCAGACCATCCTTTCCATTCTCTTGTTCTTTCTCAGCAATGGAGATCCTGTCAGTTCTGTCTTTATAGTCCACAGCTTTATTGTACCTTCCTTTCTGGCCAAACTCAACATCTTAAATCATCCTGCTGGGCTCTTTGGTCTTGATTCTCAACATAAATCTGACTAAAAGCTCCCAACAATTTCAATGCTACTCATTCAATATTTGGCTGCTTTGATATTTCTTTTGAAAGATTAATCAGTCCACCATGCTTAATCTCAGTCTCAGCAAAAGCCTCTGGACATGAGCAAAATGCAGACAAATTTTTTTGCCAAGCCAAAACACTAATGATCTGGAGGCCAACAACCAATGCAGTCCTTCCCAGCAGAAACCTCCCCAGCCTGGTCTTTACAGGCAGGATTTCAATCAGCCTTCTAATCTTCTAGGCTTTGACCAGAATCTCCCACACAGAACAGTAAGCTGTTCTAGCACTTCATTTATAGGTGACATGTCCAAACCTTTCCCATCTCTTCCCATAAGCCATTCCCAAAAGCTTGCAATTCCTTTGGCTAGGTGTCTTAGTTACTTTTACTCGTTGCTGATACAAATACCTAACACTCAAAATGAAGGAAGGATAGGTTTATTTAGCTTACAGTTGGAGGTTTCAGTTCATACTCGGCTGGCTCCAAGACAAATGATAGCAGTTCATTGCAGCAGAAAACAATGAAGAGCAGAGGAGGAGCAACAGCTGTGGTGTCCCTCAAGCCTCTCTCTTCCTTCTATGCTGACTGAGAAGACTGGTGTTCCACTGTGAAGAAGTGAAATGGCTGCGAAGATCAATCTCCTCCAAACACTGGGACTTCTCTAAGGAAGCAGGGCAGGGCAGCGGCGAGAAGCCCTCCTCAACTTCTTTTTTTTTTTGGTGGAACCAGGGATTGAACTCAGGCCCTTGAGCCATCTCCCCGGCCCCAAAAGTTTAAAAGAACTTTTTTTGTTTGTTTGTTTTGGCCCACTTAGGATGCCTTAAGGACAGGTCTGGTAGAGGATCTGGGGATCAACCACAGAATTCTGAGCCTGACTGCTTTGCTTAAGCAGGCACTTAAACAACTGAGCTAATGGCAGGCCCCCTCCTCACTTCTTTATATACACTTTTTGTGCTGACTCACTCTGGGGTGGCCTGTTGCGCCCCAGGGCAGAACCAATCATGCCCCAGGGCAGGCCCTGAAGCCACAGCCGGGAAATGCTGGAGTCCATCCAGCCAAGTGTGGGACATCAAGTTGACACAACGTATCAGCTACCACACCAAGTATAGCCACAGCAAGACCCCACTCTTCTGGTACCAAATTCCATCTCAGATACTTTTCTCATTGATGGGACAAATACCTGATACCCAAATGATGGCAGGAAAAGTTTATTTAGCTCACAGTTACTGGAGGTTTCAGTCCATACTCAGCTGGCTCCAAAGCGTACTGGCACATTGCAAAGAGCAACCTTTCATTGAGGCTCTTTGAGAGCAGAGAGCAAAATGGAGGAGTAGCAGCACTAATGGCTACAGAGAACAAGTCTGTCTCTCTGTTTCTCTTATGTTACATTCAGGCTATCCGCACCCATGGCATCCAGCACTGTTCTTGGAAGAAGGTGCCCACAAGTCATACGCACACACTGCACAAGAAACAGATGCCAAAAAAAAAAAAAGATACAGATGCCCTAGAATTGGCAGTTTCCATAGCCTGCCTGGTCCTTCTGGACAAAGAAACAGGTCAGGAAAATCCAGAGCCTTTCTTCACTCCTCCAACTGCTGTGTTATGGTGCCTTCCTGTTTCAAGAGCCCCACCCCTTCTAAGGCTGGAAAAACATTCACCTAGAGACTAAGGGCTTCTTTCTGTCCCTGTTTTGTCCTCTCCCGTGAAAATCACTCAAGCAGATGTACAGACTTCATCCAAAACAAGCATGATTTAATCGCTCTGAACTGCTGAGCTATGCCTGCTGGCCCTTAAAATTATTAATATTTTACTAAAGAAAGATGATAGCAATCAACATGCAAAGGAACCTTTTATTTCAAAACTTTCTATTTTCATAGAAAAAAAAAAGAGTAAAGAAAAAAATCACAGAAATATTCTCCACATCTGTGCCCTAACCCACATTAAGATTAAGAGGCAAAGGCGGGGGTGCTCAGTGGCCAAGCGCTTACCTCACCTGCACAAGGCCTGGCTTCCATCCCAGCACTGCAAAAAAAAAAAAAAAAAGACATACAGTGGTCTCAGAAAAGAACAGAAATTTGACTTTTTTAAAGGAAAAAAAGGGGGAACCTCCACAAGAGAATGATCTATGTGGCTTTGCATTCCTTGATGAAAGGCAATAATCAAAGAATTAAATCCACACTTTCCTTCCCCTGGTAAATGCAGGATGTGACCCTTGTGGTACAATTATTATTACTCCTAGTAATCTCTGGGGCAGCCCATGGACAGGGGCAGAGACAGGGAGGGCCAGAGCCAGGGATGCTCCCAGGAAGGAGAAAGCCAGGTTCTGACCTCAGAGCCAAACAACTGATTTACAAGTAGAACAAGTTCTAAACTTCCTCCCAGCTTGTAGGTTTAGAATTTGGAATACACTCTCCTCACCACATGTGTGTGCTGACTTACGTCACCTGACCAGGGTAGAGATGTTCTAACCCTGTGCCTGAGGATCATTTAGTTCTGTCCTGAGGATTCTGAACAAACCAGCTGGCACGTGCTACCTTTCTTTATGGAAACACAGAATTCCAAATAAGATAGAGCATCTCAATGCCTCTGATTCGACAGGACCATTACCAGTCTTGAGACACATTAGCAGTGGTGGTCAAGGCCTGCCCTCCGTCCCTCACCCCACCCACACTGACCTGCAAGAGGATACCTTGGCTGGTAAGAGCTGGGGCAGGAAGGATCTGTCCTGTGCCTCTTCCTGGTCCCCACATGGCTACCAGTGGAGAAAGCAGACGGCAGGAATTAGAGGCCAGCAGGCTGGTCCCCGGGGCCTGGGCCACAGGATGGGGGAGGGTGGAGACTCGCTGAGGCTGGGACGTCCTGTGCTCTTAGCTTTCGTTTCCACTGTGGTTGCTAAGTACTATACATAATGCAAAAGTAAACAGTTACCCAGCACCGTTTGGAATACATAAAAACACACATCCATCAGCCAACAAGGGGAAACACTCTCAGAGTCTCTAGGTTTATTTTTAGATTCTGGTTGATGAAATGAAAAACCTAAAAGTCCAAAAGAAGAGAAGCTGAGACTGACAAGTGCAGTTAGCAACAAATGACAGAGACACCCGAGATCTCCAAGCCCATCTGAGCTTATAAAGTATGCAACAGCCAGTCCTCAAGGGTTTCGATGCCTGAGAGTGGCTCTTTGAACAGGATAAAGCATTCAGTGCACTCACGGGAAAGCAACCCCCTGTGGTCAAGGTCGGAGTGAGCAAGACCCCCCTCAGTAAAGGCCTGATGTCAAGAAAGGTAAGGAGTACAGACCTTTGAAGAAAGGAACGAGCTTTAGTTACCTCTGAATTTCCCACAATGCACAGCACACAATAGATATTTGTTAAATAATAATAATAATAATAACAATAAAGAAAAATCTTCATTTCCAGATACAGTTCCTAAGATTATCCACAAAGTAGAGAACCAGAATTGAAGTTTCAAAGACCAGTTTATCACCAACAAGGAAATCAGAGGACCAGAGCAACAAAAGTGCTACAAATAAAATAATACACTAAAATGAATATAATATAAATAAGAACCATATGATCAGAAAGCAAGAATAACCCTGAGTGAATCACTGAGACTTTCCACTGTAAAATGAGGTGTTATTTATGGTCTCAATAAAGATAAAGAAGTCATCAGGCAGCCCTGTGCTGCAAGGCCACACAGTCCACAGCACTGTAGGGTCAGGTGACAGCTGAAGACCCCAGGCCCAAGGAGACAGGGTTATTCTCAGTATAATCACCTAATTCCAAGTAATCACCAAGTTTTCCTTGCCTTAGGAAAAGCCCCTCTAATCAGAAAACTGCTTTTATAGAGTTGAAAATAAACATGCACAGAGAAAAAGCACCACCAGCTTTATAGAAATGGAAGGATTCTGTTTTTCAAGCAACATTCAATAAAAACTAAGGAGACAACAGCTTAGCAAGTTAAAGAACAAGACTCAGTTTAGATTCTCATCTTCACCAAAATAAATTATAGTTACATTAAATAGTAATTTTTAAATTAAGACTTTTTTAAAAAAAATAAACAGACAACAGAGCTGAGTATTAATCAAGCTGTAAAGAGCCAACCAGGTCAAGCAGGGTAAGAAACAATGGGGGACATTCGTCCACTTGACAGGACCAGGCTGTGTCATGTGGGAAAGACATTCATTGAGGAAATATTTGTAGCATATCTGAAAAAAATATTTTATTATATGTTATTAAAGACTGTTGTGATTTGTATCTAGATTCCCCCCCCCCAAAGCCACATGTGGTCACAGGTGGGGCTTTTTCAGAGGTGGCTGGATCTAGACTGTGTGATGCTAGGATTAAGGGTAGATGGTTACTAAATCAGTCCACTGACTGCTTTGGCATTTCCCTAATCCCAGTACCCCAGATAGAACATAAAAGCAGCAAAAAGAAGCTGCTAAGCCTCCTTGCTTGCTTTGCTGTCTTCTTCCCACCATGAACTGTTTTTCCTCTGCAATGCCTCTCTGCTTTGTCACCCTGCCACACAGCCAGCCAATGATGGACTGAAACCTCTACAAACTGTGAGCAAAGTAAACCTTTTCCCTTTTAACTTTAGGTATCAGGTATTTGTCTCAGCAACAAAAGAAAGTAGGACAAAGACATATCCTCATGACACATAGTTCAAGCAAAAAACAAATCAAGTTAAAGAATAATATGTGTCCCATGGCTCTGTCTTGGTAACAAAACCCTTTGTATCTTTTAAAACTATAGTCATCCTCTCAGGCTTTCACAGAGAGCACATTGGCCAAGCATTGGCCGTGACTCATCCACATGGCTGACACTGACAAAAGTTCTACAATCTGAGGTACAGGATC